TTTATATGTGAATCTACGGGCAAGTTGTAATGCTGTTAGCCTGAATGCGTTGATCAAGTGGAGTAATACGAGGTTCGTACACTCTAATTTCTTTCCCGTCCAGTGGGTTGAGGAACCATTTCTAAACAAGGATCTCCTCAAGGGGTGAATGGGAGGAGTACTCAGTCCTGATCTCGTACTCTGATTCAGAACTCTCAACTGACGCAGTTCTTGTCTGCTTGATCTCTGCAGCGCTTTTCAAGCTGAACTTACAGCAATCGACGTATATGCAGTAGCTACCACTTTTCTGATAGTCAGACAGCAATCAAAGCACTTAATTGTGACAAATTAACATCGAAGATTGTCATGGAATGTAGATGTACTCTAAATGAGCTGGCAAGGAGATACGTCACTTACATACATATGTTGTACAGTGGCAAGGCCATAAAGATATACCGCGCACTGTGGTTCAGATCAACTAACAAGAAAAGGAACCTTATTATATGCAATCAGCACCACTCGCAATGCGGGCTAACCGCTATCTTCTTGCAAACCCTGTCTGGAGAATAATTTTATCGAACGGACAAATGCAAGATGGTCTACGGCTTCCACGTGCAAGGATAGCACGGAATATTTGGGTGGCCTTAGTTGGATAAGCGTAGAACTCGCCTTATCCTACGCTTGGGGAAACCACTGCTCCGACACGTAATTGGAGTTCTCAACGAGCACTGCCTAATGGGAACCCGCGCTCTTGGAATGGATTTCCAGTCAAACCGCCACTGTCGTAGCTGCCGTGATATGGAGGAAATCTAAAGCGTAGAACATTACCTATGCCACTTCCCCTGCGTTGTTTTGAATGTTTGGCTAAACTGGTTCCAGCTAGTAACTACGATTTTGAGCGCTTCGTCAGAGCTACACAATGGTTTTATTTCAAAGATAAGAGAGTGGGGTTACAAGGAGTCTCTAATGCCATCATAATGGGCCCATGGTGACCTAAATATGTCCTTTTCCCTCGGCTGACAACCAAGATAACATAACCTAATCTAACCTTAGCCAATTAGAAATTCCAAGTGATCCAACACTTTATCTTTCTCACTTAGGAGATATCGTCCCCTTTTCTTTGAAACCGCACGCATGGCGCATTTAATCCTTTCAGATTTAGAGTATGCATTTATGTTTGTTCGCACGGCATAATCCAGCCAGCAAAGTCTCAATGCGCCATACCTGAGGACGAGGGTTTAGTACTCAACTGCCAACCCAGCCCGAAATTGTACTCAAACTAAGGATAGATAAAGGAAGGGATCCACTTTTTCAAAAATAAATCTGGAATATTGACATGAGTTCCAAGACGTGAGTGAAGTGAGTGTTTGTTTGATGACTGGAAGTACATCGCAGTGTGCCCATTGTGGCTGTACGAGTACATTTCAAGAGCCCATGAGTGCCAGGCAAGCTTTTAGCCGTCGATAGGGCAGGGAGGGGCCGCACTGAGAAAAGGGTTTAGTTCAGTCAACTAAATATGTTTCTTTCAAGTGTCTGGTAAACGCCTTATATAGTTTTTATGTCGAATGAAGCCGTGGAGCTGCGATATTTTCACCTCCGCTACCTGAATTGATTCCGCTTCGATCTCATTCTCAAAAAAATCCTGCATTGTACTGTGGTGACGGTGGCAAGAGCCCCTACTGCACATTTGTTTAGTGTCAATAATTCTCCAGTACGACTCTATTTGGGTCTCGGCAGTAAGGATCTTGAAATCTCTCAGTCATCCCGATTGATCTATAGGTCATTTATCAAGGCTGTGGTGTACTCTTCAATCCACCTTGATAGATATTTCGTTCGCTTCGATATTTTAATGCCCAGAAATGCAGTAGGGAAAGGTTTTGATGTGAATCAATGAAGCCAACGACACACGCAATTTTGAACTACTTCTGACTTTACTACATTGGAACCTAGTCCTTTCAACGCCGCCTGGATAACAACGAATATTGTGACGTTCCCTGACAGAAACTTATCTTAATATATCCGCCTGAAAGACGGTGCAGTTTTCATGATTTAATTTAGCGCAGATGCAGACTCAGTATTAACAGTCCATTGGCATTGGAATTTATTAGCAGCTCCAGGGCCCAACATGAGCGCCTGATTTGCCTCCACCCTTGAACCGTCTGTGTGCCAATGTACTGATCTGGGTACAAGAAAGTAGATCCCGTTTTTCCAGTCTTCGTGATCTGCTATTTGGAATAGGATATTTCGTCCAAAGCAGATATCTTTGCTTATGGAATCAGAAATTTGCACCTTTCAAACCCAAATAGGTAACTTCCCGAGAACAACAGTAGATATAAATCCTTTTT